GATACCCGTGGTGGGAAAAGCACAGACAGCCCATTGTATAGCTTTGTGCTTAATTACAAGCCAACAAACAAACAGTTTACAAGAGTGTTGGGCACGAAACCTAAAGGTTTGAAATTGCAATTACAAAAATCACTCTCCCCCCCCCCCCCCCGGTGGCAGAACAGCGGCATGTCTACGGACTTACAACGCTAGATAGCGGGTTTAAATACCCGTGGTGGGCAGATAACCGGTAGCCCATTGTGTAGCCTTGTGCTTAGCTACAGACAAAACAAATATATATTACAAAAATTGCTCTTTAAAACTAGCGATACGAAAATCAACGTAAAAATCTATAGTTTCTGGTTTGTTTGTTTCATATAGTTGATAAATAATAATATGGACAGATTTATACGTGGATATAACCTATATTTATTAACAAAACAGTTTCTTCGTCTTAGGACTTATTCCTAAGCAATCTCTATGGATATCTTGAATTTCAACACTACAATTCCAATTTCGCAAGACTACATATTCATAAACATTTGTAATAAAATTACATTATTCTCATCAAGTTGATACAGCTTTCATTCTAAATATTTGAACACTCTAAGAGCACAGGCCACATCCTCAAATGAGCTCAAAATAAAGTATAAACCCACAACAATCGGCCATGGTGAGAAAATAGGCTAATACGTTTACTTGAACAGTTTATTTTAAACTTTAAAACCAGAAACAATTTAACGTCCAACATTGGTCACCGTAATATTCTAGACAACTAATTTTATAGAACTTTAAACCAGTAATACTAGGTAATCAAGAACAGTACTACATATTGCTACAATTGGTTGGATCATTCAAACTGCAATACCACACGTCATAAATATTAGTCTTGAATATAAGTAACACTAACACAGTATGTTACCAACACTAGTCGTGAATATAGTCAACATCAACAGTGTATGTTACCAACACTAGCCGTGAATATAGTCAACATCATCACTATAAGTTACCAAACACTAGTCATGAATATAGTCAACATTATAACCATAAGTTACCAACACTAGTCGTGAATATAGTCAACATCAACAGTGTATGTTACCAACACTAGTCGTGAATATAGTCAACATCATCACTATAAGTTACCAAACACTAGTCATGAATATAGTCAACATTATAACCATAAGTTACCAAACACTAGTCATGAATATAGTCAGCATTATCACTATAAGTCACCAAACACTAGTCGTGAATATAGTCACTATTATCACTATAAGTTACCAAACACTAGTCGTGAATATTGTCAACATTATCACTATAAGTCACCAAAAATTAGTCAGGAATATAGTCAACATTATAATTATAAGTTACCAAACACTAGTCGTGAATATAGTCAACATTATCACTATAAGTCACCACAAATTAGTCAGGAATATAGTCAACATTATAACCATAAGTTACCAAACACTAGTCGTGAATATAGTCAACATTATCACTATAAGTTACCAAACACTAGTCATGAATATAGTCAACATCATCACTATAAGTTACCAAACATTAGTCGTGAATATAGTCAACATCATCACTATAAGTTACCAAACATTAGTCGTGAATATAGTCAACATCATCACTATAAGTTACCAAACACTAGTCGTGAATATAGTCAATATTATCACTATAAGTTACCAAACACTAATCGTGAATATAGTCAACATCATCACTATAAGTTACCAAACACTAGTCGTGAATATAGTCAATATTATCACTATAAGTTACCAAACACTAGTCGTGAATATAGTCAACATCATCACTATAAGTTACCAAACACTAGTCATGAATATAGTCAACATTATCACTATAAGTTACCAAACACTAGTCATGAATATAGTCAACATCATCACTATAAGTTACCAAACACTAGTCGTGAATATAGTCAATATTATCACTATAAGTTACCAAACACTAGTCGTGAATATAGTCAACATCATCACTATAAGTTACCAAACATTAGTCGTGAATATAGTCAACATTATAACCATAAGTTACCAAACACTAGTCTTGAATATAGTCGACATCATCACTATAAGTTACCAAACATTAGTCGTGAATATAGTCAATATTATCACTATAAGTCACCAAAAATTAGTCATGAATATAGTCAACATCATCACTATAAGTTACCAAACACTAGTCGTGAATATAGTCAACATTATAACCATAAGTTACCAAACACTAGTCGTGAATATAGTCAACATTATAACCATAAGTTACCAAACACTAGTCGTGAATATAGTCAACATTATAACCATAAGTTACCAAACACTAGTCGTGAATATAATCAACATCATCACCATAAGTTACCAAACACTAGTCTTGAATATAGTCGACATCAACACAGTAAGTTACCAAACACTAGTCTTGAATATATAGTCGACATCATCACTATAAGTTACCAAACATTAGTCGTGAATATAGTCGACATCAACACAGTAAGTTACCAAACACTAGTCTTGAATATATAGTCGACATCATCACTATAAGTTACCAAACAATAGTCGTGAATATAGTCAACATTAACACCGTATGTTACCAACGTCTGTCATGTAATTAGTCAACATCAACACCGTATGTTACCAACGTTTGTCATGTATATAGTCAACATCAACACCATAAGTTACCAAGGTCTGTCTTGTATATAGTCAACATCAACACCGTATGTTACCAAGGTCTGTCTTGTATATAGTCAACATCAACACCATATGTTACCAACGTCTGTCTTGTATTTAGTCAACATCAACACCGTATGTTACCAACGTCTGTCATGTATTTAGTCAACATCAACACCGTATGTTACCAACGTCTGTCATGTATTTAGTCAATATCAACACCGTATGTTACCAACGTCTGTCATGTATATAGTCAACATCAACACCGTATATTACCAACGTCTGTCTTGTATTTAGTCAACATCAACACCGTATGTTACCAACGTCTGGTCATGTATTTAGTCAATATCAACACCGTATGTTACCAACGTCTGTCTTGTATTTAGTCAACATCAACACCGTATGTTACCAACGTCTGTCATGTATTTAGTCAACATCAACATCGTATGTTACCAACGTCTGTCATGTATTTAGTCAACATCAACACCGTATGTTACCAACGTCTATCATGTACTTAGTTAACATCAACACCGAATGTTTCCAACGTCTGTCATGTATTTAGTCAATATTAACACCGTATGTTACCAACGTCTGTCACGTACTTAGTCAACATCAACACCGTATGTTACCAACGTCTGTCATGTATATAGTCAACATCAACACCATATGTTACCAACGTCTGTCATGTATTTAGTCAATATTAACACCGTATGTTACCAACGTCTGTCATGTACTTAGTCAACATCAACACCGTATGTTACCAACGTCTGTCATGTACTTAGTCAACATCAACACCGTATGTTACCAAAGTCTGTCATGTATTTAGTCAACATCAACACCGTATGTTACCAACGTCTGTCATGTATTTAGTCAACATTAACACCGTATGTTACCAACGTCTGTCATGTACTTAGTCAACATCAACACCGAATGTTTCCAACGTCTGTCATGTATTTAGTCAATATTAACACCGTATGTTACCAACGTCTGTCATGTATTTAGTCAACATCAACACTGAATGTTTCCAACGTCTGTCATGTATATAGGCAATATCAACACCGTATGTTACCAACGTCTGTCTTGTATTTAGTCAACATCAACACCGTATGTTACCAACGTCTGTCACGTATTTAGCCAATATCAACACCGTATGTTACCAACGTCTGTCTTGTATTTAGTCAACATCAACACCATATGTTACCAACGTTTGTCATGTATTTAGTCAACATCAACACCGAATGTTTCCAACGTCTGTCTTGTATTTAGTCAACATCAACACCGAATGTTTCCAACGTCTGTCTTGTATTTAGTCAACATCAACACCGTATGTTACCAACGTCTGTCATGTATAT